ACTTCCAGAGGTCTACCTCTCACCCCGCCCTCATGGGGCAAGGGGCTGCCTCGTGGTGGTTTGGACTCGGATTTCCCTGACGGCTGACGGTGTCGACCGTCTTGTCTCGCACTCATTGTTCCAGTGCCGGGGGCCACGGCCATGGGGACCACAGGCGTGGGGGTCCGCACCCAGGGATGCCGGAGCGTGTGTACGCTCACAGAGCGCCCGTGTGTGGTGTGCATCGCACACGTGGGTGTGAAGCTCTCAGCCCAGCCCCCCGTGCAGGCGGACCAGGCCTGTCCCCCAGGACCACGCAGGGGCCCGTCTGGCACCAGGACCTGGCCAGATCAGAGCCGTGGTTGTTGCTTTTCAGGTGGGGAAACTGAGACCCCGGAAGGCCCCCTCACTGGTCTGAGGTCACCCAGCTGGCGAGTAGTAGAGTCTGGACTTGAACTCGAGGTGTCAGGCTCCGAGTGCCTCCCTGGGAACATGTGTGTCCCGTGCACACATCAGTCATTTCAGGAGGGGCCCCCACTTCCTGAGCCACTGTGTGGCCTTGGGCCCCTGGGTGGGGGGCAGCACTGGCTGGGGTCCCCAAGGCCCTCTCCAACACGGAGGTCTCTAGCCCCCTTCTCAGAGGGGACCAGGGGCCTTTCCACCTCCCTCCCCGGCCTGCACTTAATGGGGTCATTACAGGCTCAGTGACGGCTTTCTGAAAACAGTGGCCCACCCCCGTGGATGCTAGGCAGTGGCAAGTAGCTTGAGGGGGCAGTGCGGGGAGCCCCGGCCTGGGGTGGGCACAGCTACGCCCCGGGAGGGCAGGGGGCTCTGCTCCGCCCAGGCCCCTGCGCTGCTCAGGAGGCTCATTGTCCCCTCGGGGCCCTGCTCCCAGAGGTCTGCCTGGCCCCCAGCCTCCCTTGGGGTCAGGGGCGGGGATGACGGGGAGACCAGGCCCCTGTCCCCGGGTGCCGGGTCTGGCTGGCACCGCTGAGGGCACGGAGCGGGGCGGGGGCTGCGTCTGCTTCCTCTGAGCCCGGAGCGTCGGTGGGGGCCCGATGTTGAACAGCCCACGGGAAAGAGGGGGCAGAGCCGCACGGTCCCTGGGCAGCCTGGCAGCCTCAGGTTACCCACAAGGCACTGCCGTGCCAATGTTCTGGATTTATCTGGAATGCTGTGGAGGGGGCAGTTGGGACAGCTGATTGGGTCGGCCTCGGACAGGAGGCTGAGGATGGGTGCAGAGGGGCGAGCGGCCTGCGCCGGAGGCCCAGTGCCGTGCCCGGTTGTCCCTGGCCGGGCTGCCCGGCCCTGCTCACCGCTTGGGTCAGGGGGCGGGGGGTGAGGCCGATGCCCATCCATCTGGTTTGCCCTCCTCACAGCTGTTCCTGGGGCTGAGGGGTGGGCTCGCAGCCCTGCTTGGCAGTGGGGGACGCGGACCCAGAGAGGGTGCACACCTCGAGTGGGGCCCCACGCAGGTGTCAGATGCCAGGTCCTTTCCTCTTCCACCTGGAGCCCCAGCACCCTGCTTGCCCTCGGGCCCGGGGCCTCCAGAGCTACCGCTTCTCACCCGGCCTGCCGGCGCCCAGCCAGCTCCCGACCCCATCCCCCCAGACCTTTCCACGGCACCTACTGCCACCCACCCCCCTAGCCTCGGAGCGGATCCCTCCCTGGCCTCGGTCTCGGGGTTCCCGTCTGCGGCATGGGTCTCATCAAGAGGGTCTGTCTCGTGGGGGTGAAGGAAGGCGATGAGTCTGAAGACCGCCCCCCGGCCCTGCTTGTGTTTGGGGCCTGAGGAACAGCATCGGGTGGACCCTGCCCACCGTCCCTGTGGCCGCCGGGGCGCCTGGCAAGAGCTCAGAGGGGTCACCACACCCCACAGGGCTGCCGGGGGCAGGAGGCGTCCCAGCTACGTCCAGAACTCGGTCGGCTGCGGGCACACGGGAAGGCGAGCCGGCGTCCTGGGCAGAGCGGGTCCGGCCTTGTCCGCCAGGGCGGGCAGCAGGGGCCCAGGTGCTCGGTCTATTCCAGCACAGCAGTGCGCTCAGCGGTGGGCTCCCACAGGTGGGCTGGCTGTTCACCTTGGCCGAGCTAGGCTGCAGGTAGTGGTGCGTGGGGACCGGTGGGGTGGGGCCTCCGGAGTTCAAGGTCATCGTAGAGGCTGGGAGCCCGACAGTCGGAGGGGCTTCCTCCTAGACCTAAGCACTCACCCCGGAGGAAGGCGCAGGCAGCTCTCTGGGGCCTGGCCAAGCAGCCCCCGAGCGATGGCGGGAGGGGACCTATCCCGGCCCCACCCCCGAGCACGCTGTGACCTGGGCAAGTTCTGAAGCCTTCGGAGACTGAGTCCAGGTCTGCGCAGTGGGGAGGGGCCCCTCCCCAACCCCGGGGCTGTCGTGAGAATAAATGAGAAGCGTGTGCAGAGTGTGGGTGTGGGGGAACCCCTCGTCCAGGGCCTAACGCCCGCCTCCCGGTTCTCCCCAGTAGCTGCCCCCTGTCTCCCTGGTGAGACGAGAGGGTTTGGCTCATTAAAACCAAATAAAGAAGGAGTTAGCGGGAGTGGCGGCCGGTGAGTAACTGGTGAGTAACTGCGTCTGAGCTGGGCACGGCCGCGGCCAGGTGGGAGCCGGAACTCGCAGGGAGGATGGAGCGAGGGCTCCGTGAAACATGCACCCCCACCCCATGCAGCTGGGCGCCTGTGGCCCGGCTGGGGTCTCCGGGACGGCGGAGTCTCCCCCTGGCTCCCATGGGGAGGGTGGGCTGTTCGTGAAGAGAAGGGTCACGGGCAGGTTCCGGGCCTCCGAGGGAACACCCACGCCGTCCCCGCTCCCGCTCGGGCAGGGCTTGGCTGTGCGGGCTCGGAACTCCCCCGGCCTGGCCTCTGGGCGGGGTTGCGCAATCGTCCTCAGAAGCTTCTCCGCTCGCCCCCCCCGTCGCTGGGTGCCTCTGTGGCCGCATGCCCCCTCAGAGGCTGGCTCGGTCTCTCCAGGGCTCCCACCCAGCAGTCACCTGCTGGCCAGCCGCCAGCTCCCACCCCGCGCCCCAAGGTGCACAGACTGTCCAAACATAGCGCCCCCTCCCCCAGGGCTGCTGGAGCTGATCTCCTGTCTCCTCCTGCCCGGGTCCCTTAGCTGCAAGAGGACCAAGCGGGGGGAGGGCCGGGTTGCCTCCAGTGACCCACGCCCCAGCCCCCCAGCCCCTCCCCCTGCTTCTCAGGGCTCTGATTCCAGTGCCCAGGTTTAAATCCTGCCTCGGCCACTAACACGTTTCACCGCCTGCCTCTCCCTCAGTGCCCTCCCCTGTGAGGTGCGAGCAAGGTAACGAGACCTGCCTCACAGGGGAAGGGTTCGGGGCATGCTGCGCGTGAGACAGCCGGTGAGTGACGTCAATGGTGACCGTGTCGGCACCGCACTGCTGACCTGCTAACTTTCTAAACAGCCCCAGGCTCCCCCTTCCTCGCGTGGCCAGTGAGCTCTCAAGTCCTCAGGCCACAGCGTCCGACCCCAGCACCTGCACAGAGAGTGCCACCTGCTTCACAGGACATCGCTGCCCTGCCACGGCCGGGCTCCCCCGGGCCTCAGCCACCTCTTTCCTTATTACTCTTGACCTCATACTTGTAGGGCACACACCAGACACACCCTGTACGCACACACTATACACACTCACACCACTCACAGGGAGTTAACACATACTTCTTATTAAGGCTTCCTTTAAGATGTCACCTCCTCCAGGAAGCCTTCCCAGACTCCATCCCCCACGGAGACAGGTAGGGAATCCTTTGAGGTTCCATGACTCCCTGTGGCCCCTTCTTGCAGAGTTCTGTGGTCGCCTCCTTTCCCGGAACCCCCCACTAGTTTATGACCCCTGCCTGGGGGTGCCTGTGTGTGAGCTTGTTGGCAAGCTCTGCTGGGCTTGGGCGGAACAAGCAAGGGGTTTGGTAATCCACTTCACACCCACCAGACTTCCCTTCAGATTGTAGTGACCTAATTCAGAGCCAGGGAGGTTGATTCCCATCTTCGACCCGTCCCTGTGAGACGGGGAACAAGGATTCGCTCTGGCAGGTGGTCTGGGAAGGCTGCCTGGAGGAGGAGGCCTGGAAACTGGCTTTGGAAGGTGGTTAGGATCTGGGCAGGAAGAGGAAGGGAATTCCACCAAAGAGACCTGGTGATCTCCAGGGGCATGTGGAAGGAGCACTGGAAGGACAGTTGCTGTTTCGGGTGGAGGATGGGCAGGGGGACAGGGGGCCGGCTGGGCTTGGGCTACTGGCAAAGACTTCGTGTGTGGACAGTGGGCCTTCTCTTCCCAGCTCGGGCGGAGGAGAGCCGTGGACGGTGCTGGGGGGAGATGCCCGGAGCTGCACTCTGGGCCCCCTTTGGCAGTGGCTAGGGGGTGAGGGATGCACGGAGCACCGGCACCCGAGTCTGGGCGGTTCAGGGGCCCTGAGGCAAGCTGGGGTGTTGTGGAAGGAAGGCTGGAGAGGCTGGGGCCTGGTGACAGGGTGACAGGGGTGGTCAGAGGGAGGGAGGCGGCAACAAAGAGGCGGGGAGGGCTCCGAGCTGCATGGATTCTGCCCGGTGCCTGGCTGGTGGGCGCCCCCCGCAGAGGACTGCAGTGGTGGCTGGTTCATGAGGAGCAGCCCTGGGAGTCTGGTGGAGGGGAGAGGGCCGAGGCGCAGGCCCCACACACCTGTCGCAGGGGCTGCCAGGTGCTGTCCACACCGGTGGGGAAACTGGGCCCCTCCCACCCAAGACCTTGGGGCAGGGAGAGAAGGTGCCACGTGCTGGTGGCAGGGGTAAGCCCTGCACAGAGCGCTCCCGTGACACCCGGCACCGTCCTGGCCGTAGCTCTGCGAGGCAGGCTCCCTCGGCCACGCCTGGCTGAGTCCGAAGCTCAGAGAGGACAAGGGCTGAGCCCAGGGCCACATGGCAGGCCGGTAGCTGGCCCGGGCCCCGCTGGCTCTGGGTCCCCGGAGCCCAGGGCGCAGCAACCTGCGAGGCCTCACCGGCTGCACCGTCCCCGCCCCGCAGGGAGCCGTGAGGCTGCCTTCACGTACGCCATCACCGCAGCGGGCGTGGCCCACGCGGTCACCGCCGCCTGCAGCCAGGGCAACCTGAGCAACTGCGGCTGCGACCGCGAGAAGCAGGGCTACTACAACCAGGCCGAGGGCTGGAAGTGGGGCGGCTGCTCGGCCGACGTGCGCTACGGCATCGACTTCTCCCGGCGCTTCGTGGACGCGCGCGAGATCAAGAAGAACGCGCGCCGCCTCATGAACCTGCACAACAACGAGGCAGGCAGGAAGGTAAGGGGGCCAGGGGCGTGGCCTGGCGAGCGCTGGGCGGGGCTGGCGGTCCAGGGGCGGGGTGGGGCGGGGCGGGGCGAGTGCAGGGCGGGGCTGGCGGTCCAGGGCCGGGTGGGGTGGGGCGGGGCGGGGCGGGGCGGGGCGGGGCGGGGCGAGTGCAGGGTGGGCTGGCGTGGTGGGCGCCTGGCTGAGCTGGTGCCCGGTGTGGCCGCTGCATCACTGGGGTCTCCACCGCTCTAGCGCCTCTTTTAGCAGAGGGAGTTGGGAACCCGGGCCCCAAAGGTGTGGTGTGGGTGGTGCTGGGCGAGACAGTCACCACGATGGACCGGCCCAGCAGTTGGAACAGGTGGGCCTTCCTGTTTCGGTCCCAGCGGAGTAGAAACTGAGTCCGGGAGGGATGAAGCGCTGTGCCCGCAGCGTCCTCGGTGAAGGGAGCCCTGGGAGGCAGGCGTGAGGCGGGGACCCGGTGTGCCCCAGGGTGGGAGCTGGACCTGGCCGAGGACCCAAGGGTGTCTGGTCCCAGAGGGGCCGTGCCGACACACCAGGAAAGGCTTCTCAGAGGAGGTGGCCTCCGGTTCAGGTTGCCCGGAGAGGCCTGAGGAAGGGAGGTCCCGAGGAGGGAGGGGCATCCCGGGGAGCGGGGGGAACCCGAGCCGCAGGCTCCAGAGAAGCCGCCGGCCGCTCGCAGGGGTGGGCGCCGTGGGGCGGGTGATCGTGGAGGACGGGCCGGCGGGGCGCACTGGGGAAGAAGTCAGGGCGGGCCGGGCCCTGCCTCGGGGAGATGAGGGCCTCCGATACCGGGCTGGGAGGCGCGGCCACCATGGCGGCAAGATGGCCAGAGATAGGCCCGGCAGCGGAGCAGAACGCCTGCCTCTCCAGCCCGTTCCCCTAGCCTGGGGCCGCAGCCAGGGCGCCAGGGCCGGAGGGGCTCCGCAGGCCCGGGACAGACTTGCCTTTCCAGGCAGAGAGGAGTCGAAATTGCTCCACAAACACTCATTCATTCAACAAACGCTCCTTGCCCCTCCTCTGTGCCCGGGCCAGGTGGGCACGGGGTCCACACCCGGGGATGGTGAGAGCTCCGGGGGCTGGCGGGAAGGGGGGGCAGAAGCTCCCTGGGGGGTGGGGGGTCCCAGGGGAGCCTTGAAGGACACGCCAGAGCTGAGACAAGCAGAGGCAGAAGAAGCTGGCGCTTGGGTGGGGGGCGGGGCTGCACATGGTTCAGGCTGGCGGGAGCAGGAAGGGTGGGCAAGATGGGGCTGGAGAAGTGGGCGGGGGCCGGCCAGAACAGGCCTTGGACGCCGGGCCAAGTGTTGGATCTCGTGGATGTAGAGGCTGCCATGCAGTGGGGTGGTGATTACATTTTGGTCAAGCGAACAAATGAAGGAAGGAGTGAGTGACCATCTTTGCCTCGAAGGAACCCGCAGACAGCACGCAGGCCCCATGCCCTAGGCGCGGGCAGATCGAGGTCTGTGCCTAGGGGTGGAGAGGAAGGCGAGATTCACTTAGCTGGAGGCATCTGGAGGGCTTCCTGCAGGAGGAGGCACAGCCAAGCTCTCCATGGAACCCCTGCCCTCTGAGCTTGTGCAGGGGCTGTCCCACAGCCCTGGGAGGAGGGTCTCACCGTGCCCACATTTCTCAGGAGGACAGCGGGGCCCAGAGTGAGCTGCAGAGCTGCTGGTGACCCAGGCTGAGCTCTGGTCCCTGCTCCATGGGGACGGGCGCACAGGCAGCAGAGTTGTGGGGAGGGGACTCGCAGCCGAGGGACCAGTGCAGGCAAAGGCACGGCGCGGAGCAGCAAGGCTGCCGGCCCAGCCTGGGGCGTCCAGGTGGGTGAGGGGACTGGCAGGTTGGACGGGCCTGGAGGTGAAGGGCTGCGACAGCCAGGTTGGATTTTGGCTTCCTGGGCGCAGGGGGCACTGCCGGTCCCTGAGGGAGAGGGGTGCTGAGCCGCTCGAGGGCCAGGGTGGTGTCCCATTCGGCCCCGAGGTCCTGTGTGAACCCCAGGGCTGGCCTGGTGGGAGACTCAGAGAGGCTTGGAGACTTTCAGATGGTAAAAGGCATTGGGCAGGAGGCAGGCAGGCGTGGGCCCTGGGGAGACAGGGGGCAGGAGAACCAGGGGGCTGGGGAGGGGCCCAGGCTTGGCTGGGGAGACGAGGATGAGGAGAGTGAGCATGTGGCAGGGTTTGCACGGGTGAAGCCCTGAACCAAGAAGCTGTGAACTGAGGAGAAGCAGGTTATTGGGTTTGGGGGGGCAGTGTCGGCAGTTTGAGGGCCCGTCGGGGACAGGGCAGCTGCAGGAAGGGCTATAAAGGGGTCGGCAGCCAGGACCCCAGCGCCAGCACCACCCTTGACTCTCTCAAGGCACGGGCTGACCCAGTCCCTCTTCGCCCAGACCCCCAGACCGGGCTGTGGCCCGTGCCCTGGACCCAGACGCCCATGGCCCTGCGATCCCAGTTCTGCGTCTTCCCCAGGATAGCCCACCCCCCTGACTCCAGGCCACCAGCCTTGAGGCCCGCCGGGCACACGGGCGATGCTCATTCGGGCCACATCTGCCCTTGGTGGGGACGGTGACAGTCTCCCGGCCCCGCTCCTGCCGCACCCCTCCTGGAACACCCCTCCTCTTAGCTGGGGAGCTTCTCCTGCATACACAGGGGGTGCACACACCTCCTCCTCCAGGAAGCCCCCCGTCCCAGGCACTCTCACCCTGGGAGCCCCCGCAGCCCCCGCACTTGGCTGTGCCACCAGCCCATCCCCTTCTGGTCCCGCACGGACTGTGAGCCCTGCACGTCCTCACCGGGTCCCGGGCCCCAGGCCACCAGGTGAGCAGAGAGGTCGGCTCTGTGGGATGTTCCTCTCGGCCCTTCTCACCCCTGGGGTGGCGGTGGTCTCCTCCTCTGGCCCCAGGGACAGGGGCAGCCCGACTCCTGCAGGGCTGGGCCTCGGAAGTGCAGCCGGGGAAGCGAGGACAGCTGACAAATGGCCCCTCGGCGGCCGGGGGCTGCAGCTAATGATTCCCATCTTTAATCAGCCGGCTGGCAGGGCCCTTTCGATCTGGGTAAATGAGTTCCCCGGGGGTCAGGGCTGGCTCTGGGAATCGGCCTTCCGGGGCCGGCGAGGGAGGCCCAAGGAAAACACGGCTCGGAGCCGGGGAGAAAGAACAACAGGGGCCGCGGACGCCTTCCCAGCAGGCCATGCGCCTGGGCGTCTCGGCCTTGTGCGCTCCCCCCCTCCAGCTGTCTGCCCCTGCGTTCCCCGGCACTCAGAACTCCGTGTGCTCACGGGGCTTTCACTGAGTGGCTGTTTACTGGGTGGGGATGATGTGCCAGGCCCTCCACCAGGCCCGAGGGCAGGGGGTGGGGGAGACGGGGTGGGGAATCTGCACCTATTCAACACCCACTATTGCCATGGCGAGGCGCCTGCCCACAGCCTGGCCGAACCCCCTGATGCCCCGCGACCTACAGGAAGTTTCACGGCACCCTGAGCCTCGGTTTTCTCGTGGCGCGCTGACCCCCCAGCTCCCCAAAGGGTAGCTAGCGACGAGAACCTTCTGAGCACTGTGGGTAACCCCGTGCCCAGCTCTGCCAAGTTCTGAATATTCTCGCGGGCCCCTCCCCAGGCCCCGCCCAGCAGGGGCCTGTGGCCCTCGGCCCTCTTTGGCCCACGAGGAGACTGAGGCTCAGAGAGGAGACACGTCCCCGTGGTGACGCAGCGGGGAGCGTGGGGAGCGTGGGGAGCTGGCTCCCATCAGGCGGAGGCGTGGGGGGCGCAGGTGGAGGGGTCCTCCCGCGCCCTCAGCCCCACTCTGTGCCCCGCCCGCCCGCAGGTCCTGGAGGAGCGCATGAAGCTGGAGTGCAAGTGTCACGGGGTGTCGGGCTCCTGCACCACCAAGACCTGCTGGACCACGCTGCCCAAGTTCCGCGAGGTGGGCCACCTGCTCAAGGAGAAGTACAACGCGGCCGTGCAGGTGGAGGTGGTGCGGGCCAGCCGCCTGCGGCAGCCCACCTTCCTGCGCATCAAGCAGCTGCGCAGCTACCAGAAGCCCATGGAGACGGACCTGGTGTACATCGAGAAGTCGCCCAACTACTGCGAGGAGGACGCGGCCACGGGCAGCGTGGGCACGCAGGGCCGCCTGTGCAACCGCACCTCGCCCGGCGCGGACGGCTGCGACACCATGTGCTGCGGCCGCGGCTACAACACGCACCAGTACACCAAGGTGTGGCAGTGCAACTGCAAGTTCCACTGGTGCTGCTTCGTCAAGTGCAACACCTGCAGCGAGCGCACGGAGGTCTTCACCTGCAAGTGAGGCGGGCAGCCAGGGCCACGGCCACGGCCGCGCAGGCAGGCAGGCAGGCAGGCAGGCCGGCAGCCGCCCGCCGCCGCCGCCGCTTTTGCACATGGATTCCCCGCCTCCCCCGCTCCTCCCGGCCGGCTGGGGCGGAGGGTGCTGCGGAAGGTGGGGCTCCCACGGGGCCGTCACCCTCTCCCCGTTGCCAGCAGCTCCTCCCTGCCACTCCGGTCACTTCCTGCGGCGGAACAGCGCCCGGGACCCAGCCACCACATCCTCCTCCTCGACGGGGCCGAGTGAATTGCCTTTCTTTTCTTCGGGACGGGGACGCACGTCGTCGTATCCCCGGAAAGCAAAGCGACCACAAGACTCTGAGGGTGTCCCTCCCCCCCTCCGGCCCCCCTCCCCCGCCCCCCAGCTGTGAGACTGTTTCCCAGGCCACAGCAGCCCCAGGCGGGGCCCTGGGGCGGTCTGGGCAGATGCTGAGAGCGGTTATTTATGTTTCCATGGCATCCGAAGAGGGCTCCCAGCGCCCAGGCACAGCTGGTGCTCACTCTGCACTCCGTGCCAGCGTCCCCTCTCTGCCGCTGCCCCCTCTCCTGCGCCGAGGGGGCGTCCCCGCCCCGGGCCCCCGCGTGAGCTGAGTGGGGGCTTGGTGACCAACATGGCCCTGAGAGGGCCCCCAAGGACAGCTCTGGACAGGGACCTCTGGTCCCCTTCTCTTCTTTTAGAAAAACTGTATCAAATGGATCAAAACATCGTCTGCGTTAGGCTCTGGGGGGGCCACGTCCCCTCCCAACTGCTGTGGCCCTCCCAGCCCCTTGCCAGCCCGGCACCTCGCCGTTTACAGAGCCACCCCCACCCCCCTCGGCCAGCCAGACCCCAGGACAGAGCTGGGCTGGGAGTAGTCAGGGCGTTTGCCCCATTTGACAGATGGGGACACCGAGGCCCAGGATGGAGCGCTAGCCAGAGTCCCCCACAGGGGGGCCCCCATTACCTGAGAACCCAACTGTGCCCCTTCCCCGTGCCAGCCTCCCTGGGGTCTGCACGACCCCCTCTCCGAGAGGTGCCTGTGAGGATTGTTGGTGGACTCCTTGCCTGTCCTGGCCTTTTCACCTTTCACCCTTCACCCGGACCCCGGTGCGGAGGACACTTGGATCCAGGGCCTCACGGGGCCGGGCCCCCCGGACGCCGCCCGCAGCGTGCCCACACCACGCAGACCCGCCCTTGCAGTCCAGCTCACCCTGGACCTCGGGAGACAGGAGCGGGAAGGGGTCCAGCCAGCTCTGAACCCCGTGTGGGGTGGAGAGGGGAGAAGCCCGGGCCGGGGGCTGGGCGCCGGCTCTGCGCTCGCTCCCACCCTTCCCCGGGGGGGACGGAGGCCCAGGGGCAGGACTTGCCAGGCAGCTCGGTGTGCGGTGACTTCTGGTGCACCCTCTACTGCACACCCCCCCCCACCCCGAATCTAGGGTGTTTCCTCCCGGACACCCAAGGAAACATGCGCTCAGGGGCTGCCCAGCCCAGTGGGCTGGACACTCGCCTGGGGCGAGTCACACCAGCTGGGCCTGGCTTCCCCCTGAGCGCCCCCACGATGCCAGGACACTCCCTTAGCTGCTGTCCTGGGACCTTCCAGGCCACCGTGAATGCCCCCGCCCTTCCCCCCTCCCCCCGGGTCCCAGGACACCCCGAGTCCACAGACCCAATGCCCTCTGCCAAGGACCCTGGTTAACTTATATTGTTATATAGTGTCGAAATGTCTATAATGTCCTTTAAATTATTGTGACCTACACTGGGTACTGGGGGGGGGTGGCCGTGCGCCATACCCTGAGATGGCTCCTCCTGCTGGAGATAGACTCTCGGGGCCCCTGACGCCACCGACTCCTGGGCGCTGGCCTTCAGCGTCCAGCGCCCCTGCGGGGGCCCCGCCCTCCCTCGTGCCCACCCGCAGCGGCCCGGCCCTTGGGAGCGGGCGACGGGGCGGCCGGGGCGGGGGCGGCGGTGGCCGCGGCACTGCGCGTCTCAGGCAGCGCCCACTGGGGAGAGCCGGCGGGTCTGTGACAGGCGGCGTCCGGCTCCTGGAGGGAGCAGTGGCCCCAATAAAGCTGGAATCGAAGACTCGAGTGTGTGTGGGGTCTGTGTGGCATCCCGGGGGTGGGGGGAGGGACACGGGCTGTCGCCTGAGGACGGACCCCTGCCCCGAGCCTGTCCTCACATCTGGCCCAGGTCCCTTTGGGCCCGCCCCACCCAGCAGGGGCCACTGTGGGGGCCTGGACCCAGACCCGGAGGCCTCCCCGGACAGCCTGGACTCGGGCTCAGGGACGGGGGCCGTGGCCTGGTGCTGGAGCCGACCCCGGGGCTGGTGGGGGCTATTCTCAGGAAAATGGGGGCCTGGGGGTGGGGAATGCCCAGCCGGGAGACCCTGGCTCCATCTGCCTCCTTCTGTGCCTGCCCCGCTGACCCCAGCTGGCCTCAGGGTCCCTGGGAGGGTCCAGCTATGTCTGATGGGTTTGGTCTCGAGGGCCACCCCCCACCCCTACCACCCCGGGGCGCTCCCTGCCCGCTGTGGCATGGGAAGGCGGCCGAGGCCCCTGGGCAGCCACCAGGCCTGCTCTCCCCAGAGGCCAGGCCTCCGCCCGCGGTAACCATGCACCGGGACGGCGAATGGCATTCCTGCCGAGGGCCGGAAGGCATGTGGTGGGGCCGGTTTGGCCACTGCCCGCCGTCCCAGTGGCCTGGCATCGGGCGGGACCGCTGATCAAACAGCCCCGGTCTGCACTGTGCCCGCCTGGGCACCCACGGGCCCGGCCCCGGCCCTGGGCAGGGCTCCACGGAGGGGCCACCGGGGGGGCCTGCTGACGGCGTCCTGGCCCCAGAGCGTGCAGAGGGGTGACGGCTGGGAGCGAGCCCCTCCCGACCCCAGGCTCAGGCAGCCGTGTGGGTGGCCCTCCCTGGTGTACGGCCTCAGTTTCCCCATCGAGAGCAGGAGGTGGCCGGGTGGGGTGGCGGTGGTCAGGGAGGCCCACGGGCCCGGGCGAGGTGCGGGCAGTTGGCAGGAGTCCCGCTTCCCCGGGAGACGGTAAGCAGAGCCGCGGTGGCGGCCGCGGGAACGCCGGGGTCCGGCTACTCCCCCGGGGCCAGGAATGAGGAAGGAGCCCGGGCACGCCGCGGCCCCGGTGCCCGGGCGGCACTCACTTCTTGGCTGCGGTTCAACCCGGGCCGCGGCCTCCCAGGGCCTCCGGCAAACCCTCCGGGCCCTGCCCGAGGCGAGGAGCCCCCACCGCTGGCCCGGCCCGGGGGCCGCCTTGCCCCCAGCCCCACGCTCCGGCTCCGCGGCTGGTGTTCCAGGGGCGTCTCCCCAGGCAGCCCAGCGGCCCCCACACACACGACGGATCATCATCCCCGAGGGAGCCCCTCGGCTCTGGGCCCCGGCTCCCCGCCGGCCGCGGGGCGTGTAGGGCCTACCCGGGTGTCCCTTGCCAGGACACTCGCCAGGCAGGTGTCCCCTCCCCAGGCTGCCCTGGCCCTGCCCCGCCGAGCACAGGACCCCCGAGGCGGGAGCGAGCCCCGGGGCCTCTGCTGGGCGGGATGTGGGGACACTGGCCGGACAGCTGGACTTCTGGGGCCCTCGCCACCACCCGCTCACCCTCCCTCCGCCTGCTCACCGGCATGCGCGGCCCCGCCGGCGGCTGGGCCCTGGGCAGTTCCCTGGGGACGGGGCGCTTGGAGCCTGGCCCTGGTCTCAGGGCCTTCGGCCCTTCACTCCGCTCTCCTGCCCCGACAGGCAGCCTGATCGGGGGCGCGACCCCTGAGTGAGGCAGCCTGAGAGACAGGGAAGGGTTCGGGCTGGCCCCTCCGCCCCTCAGCTTCCCCATCTGTGGAATGGGTGCAGCGGGTGGGCTCTGCCCGTCACACCGCTCGCCTCTGTCTAGAGAAACACGGGCCCACCCGTGCCTCCCCCCCGCCCCCCCGCCCACAGGGCTGGCCCCTCAGCTCCGGGCTGGCGGCCCAGCTCACAGGGTCCCTGCGGCCCCGGTGGGCACAGGCTCGCTCCTCCGCGTGGCCTGTGGAGTGCTCCCCGACCCTCGGCCCCCTCCGACAGCCCACCCCACCCCACATGAAGCCCACCCCACCCCTGCCGCCCGCCAGTGAGCCACTCCTGCCCCGGCCTGCTCACAGACCTCCCCACACACCCCAACCTGCCCCAGCTGTGCCCTCTGCCCGGGGGTCCTTCCTTCTACCATCCCTGCCCACAGCCACCACCCCGACAACGCCCACCTTCCCCAGCAAGCTCACCTGGGCTCCCGCGCCCCTCACCCTCAGTCCCGGCTCTCACCCCACCCCATCCGGACGGGCAGGGGCCCTCCCACTGTGACTGCCCCACCCACCCCCAAGCAGGCAGCTGGGGTGGGGGGAGCCGGGAGCAGGGGGCCTTGCCAGTGCGCAGGTGCGTGGAACCCCCCGCCCCGCACCAGGCACTGGGTCTGGCCCACGGTCACCCATAACCCGCACAACACCCTTCCCCGGACAGGTCCGTGCCGGCCCCTCGTTACAGGCGGGAGAGCGGAGGCACAGCACACAGGGTCTGTCCGGCGTCACGGGGGCGAGAGGCAGAACTGGAGTGTGATCTCAGGTCCCTCGGGGCCTTCCTTCTACCCAGCCCACACACCTCCCCCCGGGGGGGGGAACAGAGGCCCCCCACCGGTCCCAGGCGGCACAGGGACGCGTGGACGGGGATGGCGAGGGCGCGTCCCAGGGTGGAGATGACAGCAGCCATCTGTCCTCACTCAGGACAGAACAGGAAAGACCGGGTTAAAGAACACGGATCTGGGTTAGACGTCTGGGTGAACTTCTGGGTGAACCGGAGCTGGGGAAGGGGTCGGGAGGGCAGGGCCGGGTGAAGGAGCAGAGGGAGCGGCCGGGGCCCAGGGGCCGGGGACGCAGGACGGGTGAGGGGAGCCAGAGGGCAGGGGGCCCGATCGGCTGGAGCCCGGGAGCAGAACGTCGCCCCGGGGTGGGCC